GYRGAGKTARTTTTCTTCCTAGTAGCTGGTAGAGTGCTGTTTTGGATTTAGGGTGATAAATATGCTGGTATCACACTGATCTTTTACTTTTTGCTGTGCAGAAAGTAAACCATGGATTTGTCAGCTTCTCATGCTGCCCTGCCAGGGAGTGGGCTGGGGGTGTCCACAAMAGAATCAGGGCAACTGACCCAACTGACCAAAGGGATATTCTTTTATAATTTCTAAAGGTCTCCAAGTTTCTCTTTTTCTCAAAGTCTCGTCTTAGCCTCCCTTAATTAATCCTAAGGGTTACTGACTGTCTCAAATCAGAGGCAGCTCTTCACAATAAATCCATGCAGGGATATCTCATCCTCCACTGAGGCTACAAATGCAGGCAAAACATCAAGACGAAAGGATATTAAAATCTGACAATTCTTTTGAACAGCATCCAACAGAGACTACTCAAATCTCCTGTACTCAAGCCAAGCCAAGGGGATGTTATCAGCAATCATCTCTCATTTGGGATGAAATAAACAGATTTATCATATTACTTAGTATTTGTTACTTTACTACTGAGGAGGATTTACAAAAGTTCAAAGGGCCAGTTTTAGAATTAGGAAAAACAAATAATGTACCATCTATCACAGTATATTAATCTTCACAAACAACTGCAGGAGTTGAATTTATCCTTAACTGGCTCACAACCAACAGCCYACTTTTTGTATTTGGTCAACACAATTTTATTGTCTTTACTCTTAAAACTACGTTTACTTACTCTGCTGTAAGTTATATTAAGACATCACACACATCTTGATTTTAACTCTTCTGTAGGTAGGAGTTACAGATAAGTGCATGGATGTATGTGGGAAAGAAGGGGGAAATGAGAAACTTGATGCAGAGCTGACAGCAAAACAGCACTGGACCAAAACAACAGGCTACACCAGAACATTGCTTTGTTTTTTAGCCTTAACATACAGGAAAACAGAAAATTAAAAAAAAAAAATGAAGCCTAGAGCCTTAGAAGAGATTTCTAGATCACAGTTCCTTCCAGTCAGGAGCTCAGCACAGTATTATGAACTCTCAACCTTCCAAAAGCCACCAAACCAGGAAGTACCATCTCCTCTTCCCTTCCTATTCAAAGTCTGCATCTAAGACAACATCAACTACTGGGCTGAGCCACTCCATGAGCTCCAACAGGACAGCTCAGCACCAGAACTGCTATGTATTTTTAAATAATTCCAGAAACTGCAAATTAAACTACTTTGGGTTAGGAACACAAGTTTCTGTGTTGCTCAAAACTGTAGTGCAGCTCTCCTCCCCGAAAACACAATACAGAATGTTTATTGAAAGTCGATGCAACAGTTTACCAGAGTATTCTTTGCTTGAAATAAGCCAACATTAATGGCTGAAAGAAACCATATATTCAGTGGCTTTTTTAAAAGCCAACTTTCCAATTATATGATTTTCTTCTCCCTTTGTGCTTGTCATACATGAATATGACAAAAGAAATACTCAGAAAAGGTTCATTCACAATTTTAGTGTCAAGGTAAAAAAGCATTAAGTGAGAAAAAATCATCAATTTCAGACTGAAGTATTAAATAAGACCAAGTTTCTGCAACAATTAATTCATATACAGTACTAAGAAGCTGACGGGAGCAGAAATCAACCACCTGAATTTTTATTGTTAAAAACAATGCATGCTTGAACACAATTCACTTGTTTGTTCYCAAATGAAGCTAGTCCAGAATTAATGTGCAATTCAAACTGAAATGACTGATATTATTATTAAATGGACTACAGAAGAAAAATACAGTGCAACCTATTGCACAACYAGGCCAAAATCTGTAAGAACCAGAGTAGTTTGAGAAAATTAATATGCRAAATATTAGAAAAGCACCAATCGGCTTCTGCTGTCTTTAATAAACAGATTATTAAGGTGCTTTAGCAAATCAAATAAGAAGTAGTACCAAACAATCAGCTGTTTGCTGTGCCCAAATGCCAGCAAGTTTTCCCAGATGAGAATTTCCATCCACTTAAACAAAAGACAGAGTTGATATGCAACCCCAAAACACCATTCCTCACTCACAAATTCCATTATTCCATTTTAGAAAACTGTAAAATCCAGCCAACATATTAAAAAAACCCCTGGTGATTCTATACACGGATATTTGTGTACACTGCAACTCCTGAAAAGTGTGACTTTCAAGGAGCAGACATTTCTCTACGAAGGAAATAATCACTCGAGCTGGGAGAGAACGCAATCCATAGATGCTGGGAAAATCTCATATTGAAGTATTTTCTTGAGAAAATAATAAGGGATAAAACTTTAAATGTWACATCCCAAATATCCCAAAACAAAGCACATAGTTACTTAAAAGGGGAGAGGCCAATTCTTCCATAAACACTTTCCAAGAGTAATAGTAAGATAATTTTCAGACCAAAGTGATAAATGCCCCCCCTGCAAACCATGCCAGTTCCATGTACCTGGAATTTCAACAAAAGTGAAATCTATCCAGGGACACACAAAAACTGCAGCAGAGCTTTAGAGACATAGGACTGTCATTTAAAACACAACACCACCAAGTAACCCCAAAATTTGTAGAATACAAAYAACTTTCAAGCATAAATAGTTCGAGCAATTCACTTGGATAACTTCAAGGTAAAAACCAGCCAAAAGTCCACTTACCTTTGGACTATTATGGAAGTTTAATTAACTTCAGGATATCCATTTCCTCACAGATGTTTGTTATTTAAACTGATTTTTCCTTCCAAAGCAAGAAACYGTACCATGAGAACACCAGATTATAGTTCTCTCAAGCCGAAGAAAAATCACATTTTACATGAATACTGCATGACATGAATCCATGAATTCCCCATTCTGTAAAGCTGTGTGTTACAACTTGCAGAGGAAATAGTGTCATTTTTATATTCGTCTAGGAAAACTTCATTGAAATCTTACAATTTCGAAGCTTATRAGGTTTGTTTGCTTTGTTTTATTAGAAAAAATACTTAGGCAAGGTCTACAATCATCTGTCAATTATAAATGACTTACAAGAAACTCATGAAGCAATAAAATTAAAAAAATACAAATACAAACTATATCTGAAACACTTCTATTTGGCAATTTTATAACAAATTAAAAAAAAAAAGAAACAAAGATTACGGATTACTTTATAGGTACAGAAAAAGCAGTAGGTGAAGTGCTCAAGCAAAAAAAAATAAAAAACCAAAACACTGCATTTTTTCCAAAAATAAAGTCATGTCACTACAGATTTTATGAATAATACCCTTATTAAACAACCATTCCAGAACATCTTATATTAGTGGTGCTTTTAATCTGCACTTCATATCGTTGATAAGATTAATTTTTGTGTATATAAGTAACATTTTTAACCCACTGGTGCTAAGCAAGACTTGTGTCAGTACCAATGCAGAATGCATTTGTATTACATTAGGATATGCTCACTTCTGCAACCAAAGGGTTACTTTAAGTCTTAATCTATTTAATAAAAATTTAGTGTAAAAACTGCTGGTTATTAGTTTCACTGTAGTAAATTCCTCCCCAATAAGGAGGACTAACTCTGCAGTTTGACTGCTTATATCCATACAAATTTTACATATTAGTTCCTTCCAACAGTAAGGAAAAAACTAATTCTGTGTTCACTATTAGAAAGGAGTGCCATGAATTAATTATGGGTACTATTCATCCCTCTAAGATTTCTGGGAAGGATGTTCAATGTATTTTTGTTCTTACAACAGATACTAACAGTAGTATATAGTCCCTTAGGTATGTAAAAGAAGGTTTTTTTACTGTTAAGGAAGGTGCTTTTTTTAAACAATTCTTCTGGCAGCACTAGTGAATTACAATATCCTTCAATATTATTTCTACCGTAATATATACATTTTAACTTTCATGCCTCTAGAAAAACATCTACAGTACATTTCATAATATAAAAATATATTACAAATCTGCTGAAATATTTACAAGCAATGTCCTATTATCTATACGCAACATTTTTGTCTCCATACAAAGACTAACAGGTTAGACGCATCTCTATTTGTCAGTTAAAAAAAATCCACGGTTTCTTGCTTATTAAGCAAGAAAATGATTTTACTTTCCTTTTCAAAGCCAACTTTGGTGCATAAAGGATTGAATTTCTAGATTTTTTTTTTAAAAATACCATTTTCTTTACATCTAGAAAACATTAGGCCAAATAAAGTATACTTTACAAGTGAATGGGGATCCTAGAGGGTCAAAAGAGCAAAATAAATCACCAGTAACACTGACTGCTTACTTCGAGGTTTTTCCAAACCCGYCCATTGATACGGATCACATCAAAGCAGACCTGATTAACACACTACACTACTCCTGCAAAGGGGGTCAGACAGACTGCAACACTCTTAACATCTTGAGACCGTACTATATGTATTCAGAGTTGATTGGAAAAGACAAGCATTCCATCAACATTTRTTTCAACATCATAATCCAACATTATTTTAGGGATCTGCAAAAGGACACAAGATTACAAATGACGAATGATTACTATCCACCATACTCAAAGGGCAACATAATGATCCCTTGGTAGCTGTTCTATTGTCTGGCATGTGTTATATTTAGTTAGCATTGACAAGAAGCCTAACAGCTTGTTAACAGTTCTCCTGGGAATTGTGAGTAAATGGTGATGGTTACTTTTTCTTTTCATCAAATATAGACTACTGTATTCACTAAAGAAAAAAGCAGCTTAAAGAAGCAAGCATGCAAAGCCTTTTAGTTGTTCCACTAAGTTGCCAGAAGAGTGTTTGCTCAGTCTCCCACTGTACCATTCCATGAAAATGTGGATATACAGTAATATATTAATATATTCCACGGAAGCATCAACTTCATTCACAGAATGTTTACACTAAGCATAAATACTTATCTAACAAAAAACAAACAAAAAAAAA